TGGTTTTACGTTAAAGACCATTATTAGAATTTGTTAGTCGAAGGATTTCTGGATCGCTGCTTCGAAGTGTATAACTTGAGGTTTTAGGCTAAGGAAGGAAAGTTTCTTATTCCAAAATTTGCTCATCAAATTTCACTTAAAAAGGAAAGACGACTGTGTGAGGTTCGATGACGCTAAGCATGAAACATCAGAAATCGGACCAGTTTGAGGAACGAAAAAACTCCTCGCTACTCGATACTTCATTTAAGAACTTGTTTTCAATGTGAATCGCGCTGAGGCCAATTGAATCTGGCAGCTTTTGAATGAAAGCAGTACAATGTCCTTGAGCACGACCTCTTGCTTCCTCAGACCCTTTCGCCCTCGCTTCTTCCGCTCATTTTCTCCTCTTTTGTTTTTTATTTAAACTTGTTGCCGAACCTGTTCCACAGAATCAAATGCTAAATTGTTGCTCCATTCGGAAATATGTGCGGTGCCGCCCGAGCGCACAATCGAACTTCATTATCAAATTGAAACCAAAGTAACTGATAAATGAAAACAATGAGATGGAACTGAGAAGAGAGAGGAAATTATAAATTCGGGAAGAAACTAAAAACCGATGATGAGAAGCCATCGGGGAGTAACCGAAATGCGAAAATGAGTAATTATTTCTAAAATCGCAACTAAAATGTTTTCACACCCCGTACTCATCTAATTTCATCACATCGAAAATTCGTCGGAAATGCAGATCGTGTTAAAACTACATAATTTTAAATGAACACAGAGTTAATACTACGTAATAACTAAAACTAAACTTGACCAGAAATTGATGGTTTGATTAGTAAAAGTATCTAATACTTTGGGCAAATGTTGTTTCACCGCCATTTCACTTCATTGGAAGGATCCGTTTGGAAGGTCGTGCCAGACCAACAGTAGCTTTTTTTCATTCAAATTTAAAATACATGAACTTGTATGGGAGTGCACTTGATGTAATCATAAAAAGTCGATTTATTTAGTTGAACAAAAATATTTTTTATTAATTAGTCTTCAAACTTTCGAGAAGTTCAAAACTCATCATCCCCTAGACAGCGGTTACGGCGAAACGACAGGTGATCAATATAATGAAGTGAAATGGCAGCGATAATCAAGTATGATTGTAAGATAATTCACAAGTCGATTGAAACAGATACGTCTCATTTGACATTCTTCATTTTTGTCTGTAGCTGCTAGTAAACACAGAAATGTTTTTTTGGAGTGGAATTTGAAATTCGTGCACTTTGGAATTTGCATATTTTGGAACTTGAATTGGAGGATCGAAATTTGAACAACTTAAAATTGGGGCTGAAGGACTAAAATTTATATGGTTTGGAACTGAAATTAGAAAATTAAAATTCCCACAGTTTGGAACTGAAAAAAAGTCAAACTCAGTGAAATCTAAAAATTGAAAACAAAAAAGTCATATTGCTTACGGCTCCGGAAGGCTTTTCGGCCAGGTGATTTTGTTGCGCTTCTTCTTCTTCTGGATGCTGCTTTGCCTGGAAGAGCTGCATCTTTCGCATGTAGTAATTCACTTTTTTAATCTCTTCCGCACTTTGTCCGAATGTTTTCGCCTTTTGCCGCAGCAGCTGGCGCATCGTTGTCGCATTGGCCGGGTGTCCAGATTCTTGGCCAGCACGAAGGGCCGTAGAAATGGGGAGAACACGGGGTTGCTGTTGAAGGTCATCGAGGTAGAACGCTTCTACCGCACAGCTACACGTAATAGTCAGTGCAATAAAAAGCCAGATGCCAGAAGCGCAAAAGAGTGGGTTAGCTGTCGTCAGGATGGAAGACGATGTTGCTGCTGCTGATGAGTTGTCGCCGGTGCTCGTTACCAGATTCACAGTTTGCGGTAAAAATGCCATAAAAGTGGGGCATGTACTTGTGGCAACGCGGTCTTTGTGAATACGCCTCTCCGTCCGGGGAGCGCCCTTCTCCACCCGCTATGCCTTGAAGACCTGTTTCGGCACGGTAGCGCTTATAAGCATTCGGCGTACGTCGCTTCCTCGGAGCGCTTCGTTTTTGCTTCTCTCCGGTGTCGTCGCTCCTGTTTCGCCCGCTAATCAGCTGCAGCCGCAGCAGTCCCGGAAGTGATGTGCTAGCGTATTATGCTCAAAAAACTTCCGGAGAGTTTTTCCAGGAAACGCCGGCAACGACCCGCCCCTGCCAAAAGCACAAACGACTACCACCACCAGGAGGCGAGCAGCGCCGGCATTTGCAGCTACGGGATCGGATTGCTGCTGCTACTGCTGCTGCTGCTGGACGAACAGAAGCACCGGTGCTCGTGTCGTCGTTGTCGTCGTCGTCGTCGTCGTCGA